AAAAAAAAAAAAAAAAAAAAAATCTCCAACAAATTAAAGAACGATTCAAATCTCTCATACATTTTTTTTTCAGGCGGATGGGATGGCAGACAACAGGGCTGGTCCTAAAATATTGTAGGCATGTACCAAATGAATAAATTGTGCCCGATTGTTTCTAGTAAAAAAGATCATAAACAATCGAGCACAATATATTCATTTGCATTTGGCCCATGGCCTACAATTTTCTAAGACCGGCCCTGAATTTCATCATCAGAACTTCACATAAAAAAAATAAAGAAAACTATATTTAGTTATGTGAAAATTAACGGAAAAAAGAACTCATTTTAATAACCAATTATAAAATATTTTTTTTCTTTAAAATTTTACAACAATTTGTGCCCTCACAATTTTCGGGCCTTGGGCGGCCTCCCCGTTGGCCTTGTCCCAGGGCCGGCTTTGGTGGACAACGGGCTTTAGTCGGGGGAGGCGGGTGAATAGCGGCAAGTAAATCTATTAGGCACCCATCGATCGATCCACTGGCTTCACGACCACCACGTGCTTCTTCCTCGAACCTTTCTTTTAGTCACAGATCCCTTTTCCTAGTTCTAGCGAAAGACAAAGATGATTAATTTGAGAAATTTAGGATTCGATCGGTTGGGGGGTTTGAGTTTGAAGTGCTCGAAGGCATTTGGTTGGGCTTGTGTGATGTCAATTCCTTATGATATGCCCAATTATTTTCAACATTATAAAAATTTCATTCATATTGAAATATTGTTCTCCACCATTAGTCTTGTCCAATAATCCAAGGGTGTCCTCGTGTGTGTGTGTGTGTGAGTGTGAGTGTGAGTGTGTGTGTGTGTAATGCGACGTTGTATGTTGATTGTTTAATTGTTCAAAGTTAATGGTGGATTCATTGCATGGTGATTTAGTGCTGCAAATTGTTCCGTTGCCTATGTTTTCGTCTGGGTAATTGCTTTTGTTTTTAGATATTTTTAGAGGTATGTTGGAGTCTTTGTGTGTTAGATTTATAATTTATTGGTGCTCTGAACAAGACAACTACAATTTTCATTCCAATCCATCAAAGTACTAAATTACATAAAGTTGTTAAATTTTAATGATTAAAGGTTATATTGTAATGTTGTTTTGTTGTTACTTATCTTGTATGTTATCTTATAATATATATATATTAACAATTTTTTAAGTTACAAAAACAAACATTTGTGTTGCTTTTTAGTTAATTTAATTGTTATGTATGTGTATAACAAGTTAAATTTTTATTTGATGTTAGACATCCATGTTTGAAGAAGAAAAAAAAAACGTGAAAAGAGAAGTAAGAGAGAGAAAGAAGAAAAAGAAGAAAAAGAGGAAGAAAGAGAAAACAATTATTAATATTTGAACTGGGTTGTTTGTAACTTTCTATTGTAAGATTTTTCAAATTTTATCCCTTCTCTAGCATTATGGGTTTTTATTATTATTATTATTATTATTATTATTATTATTATTATTATTATTATTATTATTATTATTATTATTATTACTTGAGTAGTTATGTATTTTCTCATGAGACTTGAGACAACGACTCAGTTTGTGAAGTGCAGCTTTTGTTGGGTCGAGTTGGATTGACCGTCATGAGGGCAGGTTTGTCGTGGGTTGGGTTAATATTAATACAATCTAGGTTGGGCCATTTGGGTTGA